AAATACTGAAGGGCTTTTATGGTAACGGTCACAAGACTGTTAATTTATCCTGCCTGTCTGGAAGTGTGTATATAATAAGTTTGGTTTATTTACATTGTTTAGTAGTCCATCACGTCCTGGAAACGTAGTCACCGCTTTTTTTTTCTTTTCAATAAACAAAGATTATATTGTTTCGTGTTGATGATGTAACCTCGGGCTTTTTATTTTTCGTATTATTTTGGGTGTTTTTTGTTTGTTTGCTTTGATAGATTAGTATAGTTTGCATATGACCTTTTATAAAATTAATTTTTTTATATGTGTTATTTCTCTGTTTTCATCAGTTATTCATTTTGTTGTAACCAGGAACTATGGAAACGGAAGTACCGTTTTAGCTACTGTTCAGACATGGAAGTAACGTGGCGGCCATATTGTGTATGTGTGAATGAAGAGCAGGATTATGGATTCTGCAGGCAGAAGTTGTTACAAATTCATGACGGTTGTCTTCGAGTGTAGAATCAAGAGGTTAGCAGTGAATATTTCGGAGACAGTAGGAAAGCGTAGTTCAGGTTAGCAGTGGATATCGCAGCAAAATAGCAGAGCGTAGTTCTTCCTTCTGTTATCTTTGCCTGATAAGTTGGCACTGCTCATTCGGGTAGGGTAAACAAAGATGGCCGCCTTTATACACGACGGATACAATGTTCTGCGGCTTCTGATTGGTTAACCTTCTATTGGTGGATTATACAGGGAGTTAAGTCATTTTGACTCGCTCACTAGTCATATATATATATATATATACACATAAAACTGTAACAGAAGTCACATGACTAAAGGTTGTCATTGTTATTACAGTCCGCCTTACCAAGTTGTGACAACTTTTCATGTTTTATTTTGAATTCCAAGTGGATCTTATCGTAGATTCGTATATTATATTATGTTATATGCGGTTTCCATTTAGCGGGCATTCGTGTTTGATTCTGCAGCTACAGGCTGGTGCATTTGATCTTTGTCGCATGCTGGTTGTTTTATGTACTGTATTGCCTTGTAATATTTTCGGGAGTTTAACAGGTAAATACTGTCGATGAATATATATTTTAGTTTTTCAATTGTTATTCCATGTCGGTAACGCAAAAGCTGATGATAAACATCAAAGTGTGGTCGCAAATAACAATGCCGGAATTTCTGAGAGCCACCGGCAAAGATCATCGTGGAGGTGTCTATCTGTTTCGTCTGCCTTTAGCCCCCAACCCAGACGATAGAAGCAGTCAAGGGACTTATGATGATGATGATGATGATGATCCCGTAGTCATCGTCGTATTGTTTTTCTCTCTCTATCATTCTAGGTCATTCACTTTCTCCTACTTTGATTTTTTCTCTCTCACATTCCCCATGAATGTGGACTGGAAAGAGTGGAGTGGGAAAAAGGTTTGAGATCTATTCCCTGATAAATATTTTACAAATATTTCTCCCTGCAACTATGTCTGTACCAATTTAGTAATTTACCTCTATCTATCTATATATACTGGTCTCTTCCTTATCTATCTTTCTGTCTATCTCACTGTTCATATATATCTTTACTCGTCTCTGATCTATCTATTTATGTTTACTTGTCTCTTCATTATCTATCTATCTATCTTTACTCGTCTCTTCATTGTCTATACTGGTCTTTTCATAATCTATCTATCTATCTATCTATCTATCTATCTATCTATCTATCTATCTATCTATCTATCTATCTATCTCATTGATCATATATATCTTTACTCGTCTCTGATCTATCTATTTATGTTTACTTGTCTCTTCATAATCTATCTATCTATCTATCTTTACTCGTCTCTTCATTGTCTATACTGGTCTCTTCATGATCTATCTATCGATCTATCGATCTATCTATCTATCTCACTGTTTATACCTATCTATCTTTACTCGTCTCTATCTATCTTGTCTTTTCATTATCTGTCTGTCGATTTATCTATCTTTACTAGTCTCTTCATTGTCTATAATTGTCTCTTCATTATCTATCTATCTATCTATCTATCTATCAATCTATCTCACTATTCATATCTATTTTTAATTGTCTCTTCATTATCTATCTAGCTATGTATCTATCTATCTATCTTTACTCGTCTCTTGATAGTCTATACTGATCTCTTCATTATCTATCTATCTATCTATCTATCTATCTTTACTCGTCTCATCATTGTCTATACTGGTCACTTCATTATCTATCTATCTATCTATCTATCTATCTTTACTCGTCTCATCATTGTCTATACTGGTCACTTCATTATCTATCTATCTATCTATCTATCTATCTATCTATCTATCTATCCTCGTCTCTTCCTTGTCTATACGGGTGTCTTCATTATCTATCTATCTATCTCTCTATCTATCTATCTATCTATCTATCTATCTATCTATCTATACTCGTCTCTTCATTGTCTATCTTTACGCGTCCCTTCATTATCTATCTATCTATCTATCTATCTATCTATCTATCTATCTATCTATCTATCTATCATAAACAATACTTTCTTATACTTTAATCAGAAAAAAAAAAGAAAAAAGAAAATAAATTCCTGTAAATGATATCCCCCTCCTAAACATGGGTAGCCCACCCACGACACCTACGAAGCGGAAATCATGCATCCAAATGAGAAAGGTCTGGAATATACATCTATTTATACATCACTCTCACGAATGCCATGTGACAGTAGCAAGGAAATCACACTAACAAAAAAAGAATACAGAAGACAAAACCGTTAACACGATAGGTGTGCTGAAAAGTTCTCGGCCCAACAGTTTTTATAATTCGCCTAAATGACAAATAACTGGCTTATTCTTTATTTGAAAAATGCTTTGGGTATACTTGAGGACATTTCAAAAATGGTTTCGTATAAGCGACCTTCCAATTTAAACACAATATACGTCGCTAAAACCAGAGGTTCGTCCGACAAGGAACCAAATCTGCGGCAAATAATAGGTTTTCTGTGTTATATGTGCCGTGTCCCTTCAGGACGTGGGAGATCATGTCCCTCCACAATTTCCCGTCCTTTGTAGCTCTAAGTAATATTTGTCCCTATAATATCCATCACAGTCCCTATTCTGCCATCAATATACTCAAGCTTGTTAAGTAGGTGACTCGCTGTTTCCCTTTGACCCTATTCCCTTCCAGTGGGTGTCAGATTCTCCAAACCTACTTTCCTCATTATTCACGTGGCACAGAAATTTCGACTGTTTTTTTTTTTTATTTCTGATTCGAAGTATAAGTGTCTATTTTGTTTCTATTTTCCTTAGAATTCCCTCTATGTTACGGCCATATGACGTTGAAATACCGGTTCCGTTACGACCACCTAAGTTAAGCAACGTTGAGCCTAGTCAGAGCCGAGTTCCAACTCCCGTTTGGTTCGATATACTCCGTTATGCGCAAATAGCCTTGGGAAAAGTATGAATCCATCTTTTCCCACTCCCCATCTATGGGTTAATTAGTAAAACTTGTATCTTTGAAGCCATTATTCCATACCCCAAAAATAGGATCTAAAGATATATTCTGGCATTAAATAACCTTCAAAGGGTTGATAAGCCGTAAAAAAATCAAACAATTAGAATTTCCTCGTTGTTCCATCGACATTATTTCCAGCATTGACAAGCATGTATGAGGCCTCAGGATTCTTCTTCAAATGTGAGATTCAAAAAACACGGATTTTACAAGTGTATAAATGCACTGATTTCGGGGTGGAAAGAGTGGGGTGAAAAAATTGGTTTGTGATCGATTCCATGACAACTGTTTATCCATGCAGATATCTCTATATCTATTTATCCATCTATATATCTATGTCTGTCCGATACTAAAAGGCAGAGAGAGGCAACCTTAGGGCGGTGGGCAGATGACTGAAGCCGGGTCACAAGATCAGAACCAATAATATTGCTGATTCTTCTTTGGAACTTATCAAGGAACCCCAGAAAAATAGCAGGGATACCAGACCATATATGCCAGCAAATGGTATACTCATAGATATGCTAGACAGATTCTGAAGAGAAAAATTGTCTCGGTCGACGCAGGGAACCAAATTTTGGGCAGCTGATCTGGTGATGGATTCAATGTAATCTAAAACTTGTCACTTATCTGATTAGTGTTATCTTCAGCATACCGACTCCAGAGTCTCGTAGACGGACACTCCAGCAATCGCTCCGAGGATATCTTTCTAGCCTTGCCTGCTAATATCTATCTATCTATCTATCTATCTATCTATCTATCTATCTATCTATCTCAATCTGTTTGTATCTATGTTTTGTATCTATCTCTATCTATCTATCTATCTATCTATCTATTCTGTTTGTATCTATCTCCTATTGTTCTATCTATCTATCTATCTATCTATCTATCTATCTATCTGTTCGTATCTATCTCACTCTGTTCGTATCTATCTATCTATAGACAGAAAATTTCTTATGTATATAAGAGTGCTCTATTTTAAATATTTTTTTTAAAAGTTACCCATTAACTGATTATATCCTGCAGTACGATTTAAAATTGAGAATTTTTCTTTTTGGAATCTTCTGAACTTTACCCTTCTTTTTTACGTTTTTGCAAAATAGTTCTCCCGTGTTGAGTGATCAGAAGAGCGGTACTATGAAATGCATGACATACAAGGGCCACTTGACGTGTGCTAATACCTGGATCGTCTGTGAATGGCAGTTGTGATCAGCCGAGCGAGAGGATTTTGTTCTTGGTGATAATTTGTGGTGACACGGATCCTGTCTTAGCAACGCGACGATAAACAGCGACAAAGTTTGGATTGACTCAGGCTGGAAACGTGCAGCTTCGAGTCCATGACCATTTGCGAGACCGTATTTTCAGGTAACTAACTACTACACACGTTAAACTTTGAAGACAAACTAACCAGAAATATACACGAATGACAAATGTAACTTCGTCTAGAAGCGCCATCTAACGTAAACTTTCTTTAAACGTAATAACGCAAAATCAAAGAATTTGTGGACATAGGTTAATAAGAATTTTT